AAAAAAAAAAATCGAATTTTTGAAAAACTTGGTCGGCGGGTAATGCAAAACGAAAAATTAACTTTGCGCGGCCTTAACTTGATACTTAATTTATGCAATTTATGTATAAATAAAAATGGGTTGAAGAATGATTCTATTCTAGTCTGAAATTTCATGTTTAAAAATAATATTTAACTGCAAATTAAGCCAAAGAAAAAAAACATAAATTGAACAGTAAAAATAATAAAAATATTATCAGTGATTATTTTTCGCTGTGCGGACTGTGCGCAGCACACAAAAACAAAATTTTGTGCACAGAAAAAATTGACATTTTGTAAGTAGTGCGCACACTTGTAAAAAGTTGTTTATAGTTTTCTTTATTTGCCGCACAGAAAAGTTTCCAAATTGTGCGGCATCCGCACAGTAAATTTTAACTAAAAAATTAACACTGAATATGATCATTAACGACTATATTAAAAATCACTATATACAATCCGGTTCTTTTTCTAATTTTCCTATTTACTTGCGAGAACCTTTTTAATCAGTTTATAATCCATGTGATAATTTCAATATAATTTGTCGAGACTCATGTAACCAACTATGTACGTACGTATGTACGTTGACCAATTAAAATAATTTTCATAATGCACTCTGACAAATCAACCCCATCAGGAGTCTAGACACTTTTGCAGTAACGTGATGTGGCGCATGAGAAATGACCAATCGGGGATGCGTAAATTTTTATTATCTCGTCAAAACAAAACACGTGCGCAAGAGAAAAAAGCGAAAATACTCAAAAACTAGTGTTTAAATCGACCTTTGGGCACTAACAAAAAATGTCGGGAGCGTAATTTTACATATAGATATGATCTTTCAAGGCCTAAAACCACGAACCCTAAAACATAACATAAAGCCAAAAAGCTTATCCGAATGTGCCACAAACGTCACATCACGTTACTGCAAAAGTGTCTAGACTGATCCAGAGTTTTGACAAATTCTTTTGGGAACATGGTAATGATTTAAATAGGCGGCAAAAAAAAATGATTTAAATCAGGTAACATTTATGGTCTGATTATTTGATTTAACGTTTCACAACATTTTACAGCGTTTCACGACATTTATATTGGTTATATATATCGATATCTGAGGCCTAGTTCAATTTTTAGTCATATTAAATTCATAGTTATTGCAAAATGACAATGTTACCGAACGAATGCCTTTTTGAAATATTTAATAATTTTCGAATTGATTATAAAACCTTATTTTCGTGCCTTCTTGTAAACCGTCAATGGTGTAGACTTATTGTACCAATATTATGGAGTGAACCTACAAATTATTACTGTGATAAAAGACTTATAAGAATATATCTTTTAGCATTAAATGCTGAAGAGCAATCTCTGTTGATCCCCTTTAAAATTATTCTTCCAACTTATCAAAGACCATTATTTGAGTACGAAAGTTATACTATATCTGTTGGTTCTTTTTTTCCCTATGGTGTCAAAGATTGGCTTAAAAATGAAGGACTTAATATGAATTATTTCGAAATAGATGAACCTGCAAATGCTATTAAATGCTCTTTATTTGCAATGTTTCTGCGAGCATGTAGAAATCTTAAACATTTAACACTTAATAATCCTATTATTAAAATAACCTTATCAGGTGCACTTTGCACAAATATCATAACAGATATATTAGTAGATGCTCTTTGTAAAAATACCACACTAACTTCTTTGAATCTTGATAGTAATAATCTTGGTTCAGAAGGGGGAAAAGCATTGGCAGGTGCACTTTGCAAAAACACCACATTGACTTTTTTGAATCTTACTTGCAATAATCTTGGATCAGACGTCGGAAAAGCATTAGCAGATTCGCTTTGCAAAAACACCACGCTAACTTTTTTGAATCTTAGCGAAAATAATCTTAAATCAGAAGGAAGAAATGCAATAGCAGCTGCGCTTTGCAAAAACACCACGCTAACTTCTTTGGACCTTAATAAGAATAATCTTGGATCAGAAGGTGGAGAAGTATTAGCAAATGCACTTTGCAAAAACACCACACTGACTTCTTTGAACCTTGCCAAAAATAATCTTGGATTAGACGGAGGTAAAGCATTAGCAAATGCACTTTGCAAAAACACCACGTTGACTTCTTTGAATCTTAGCAGTAATAATCTTGGATCAATCGTTGGAAAAGCATTGGCTGATGCACTTTGCAAGAACTCTGTGCTAACTTATTTGAGTCTCAACACAAATAATCTTGGATTCGAAGGAGGAATAGCATTAGCAGATGTACTTTGTAAAAACACCACATTGACTTCTTTGGATCTTTGTTGTAATAATATTGGATTTAAAGGAGGGATAGCATTAGCGGATGCACTTTGCAAAAACATTACGCTGACTTCTTTGAATCTTGATAGTAATAATCTTGGCTCAGAAGGAGGAAAAGCATTAGCAGATGCCCTTTGCAAGAACGTCACGCTGACTTCTTTGGGTCTTTATCAGAATAATCTTGGACCAGAAGAGGGAAAAGCGTTAGCAGATGCACTTTGCAAGAACACTACGCTATCTTCTTTAAATCTTAGCTGCAATGATCTTGGAGTAAAGGGAGGAAAAGCATTAGCAAATGCGCTTTGCAAGAACACAACACTGACTTCTTTGAATCTTAGCCGTAACGATTTTTGGTCAGAAGAAGGAAAAGCATTAGCAAATGCACTTTACAAGAATAAGACTTTGATTTTTTTGGATATTTCTCAAAACTTTATTGATTTTACTATAAAATCTAATAATCCAAAGATTAGAATAATTCAATAATTTGTACATAGTATAAATACGAATATAATTTAAAATTGTGTTACGTAACATTAACAATAAAGATAGCAGTATTGAAATAAATTAATACTAGCTTTGAGATAAATAAATTTTAATGTTGCAGGCTAAAATGAAATTGTTAAATAAAATTATGGTATTTATCTAATTCTTTAAATATACAAATATTCTCTTATTAACCAGCTTTACATTAATGTTAAAAAGATACGCTCCAAATTTTGCCGTGATCTGCAATTTTCAAATAATTAACAATGCAGTAATTACAGTCAATACTATCTAATTGCATACTATCTGAATGCATATACTCTCTAAATGCATAAAAACGTTTGTTTTTAATTATTAACACAAAAATGGTTATTATAACTAAAATGCATATACTGTCTATATGCATCAAAAGTCTGATGGATGGCATCGACAGTAGATATAGCGAGTGGCCTAACGTTAATAATTATTAAGATTTTTAACTTAGTAAAAATCGAACTTAAACGAATTTTTTTTAAAAAGATTTAAAATTACATTCTTTTTAATGAAAAAAGAAAATCACATTTTGGCATGTAAAATAGTTTTAAGTAGAAATATTAAACAATTAAACAGAAATGATTTTTGACAATTTTTTATGTGGCTTCATTAGCCTTTTGCAAATCTAGTTTATTTTGTTCTATGTCATAACATTGACAAATTTTTTTTACATTTTTGCAATTTTTTAGAACGAATTTAATCAAATGCCCCTAATAATTATAGGGTTTTTTTTGGTTTGGTTAAATTATATTTCTGTCAAAGAATTTATTTATTTATTTTTTATTTAAAAAGTCAAGGTTTATTATTTCTTATAAAATAAAGATATATATATTTATAATTTTTTCGAAATCACATTGGTACTATGTGTTTTCAAAGAACTTGATTACAATTTAAGCCTTTCTCTAATTATAAACCTTTCTCTAATTATAAATTGAATGTAACTAAGATCAAATATACTGTAAATATCAAACCAAACTTTTTAATGAAAATAAACCCCTGCGATTAAAGTTCGGATAGAATGAGGTTGATGTTAGGATGTTAGGAGAGGACATAGCTAATACCAAAAATTTCGCAAGAAATTTTTTTTGTTAAAAGGTTTCATAGTCTAAAATTTCGAATTATTGATGATTTTTTGATTGGTCTTATGGGATGCGGTTATAGTAACCACAATTACAAATTAATTTTTTTTTTGTAATTTTCATTTATCAAATTCTCCAGCGTCTTTTAGCCAAATCATCATCTTCAGCATATGAAGTTCGTTCACTTTCTTTACAAAATGGTGAAAAACATCTTATTATACCTGGGTGAAGAGAGTTAGCATATATTTTCTCTCCTTCAAGATAATGTTTATTCAATTCGTTAGTGAATAAAATATTTGCAAGTTTTGATTGATCATAACGTGGCATTGAGTCTAGTGCATTTGGATCATTTAGTTTCTCGAATTCAATTCCACCCTCAGGAATAACTATATGAGCATAACTGCTAAGATTTACTATACTGCTGGTTGCAAAGCTTTAATTTTGGCAATAATAATTTAGTGAAAAGCTGTCAATATAAAAAATTTTGTTATAATGAATTTTTTTATCTAATTTGTTTGTTTTTGTTTGTTTATTTGTTTGCTTACAAAATGGCCGACATTATTTACTCCAAATTCTTTTTAAATTCCATCCTCAGTAAGTGAAAATGCACTATTTTATTATATTCATTATTTGTTCGAATTTTATTATAGCCATAAAATTACAAGTGAAAAGAAATCATATTTTAAATTTATTACTCACTTTGTTGTGATTCCAGCATTGTGTAAATTCTAATAAAAATGATCAATCAATTAGGTTAAATTTGTAACTTTTAAACTAATCTATAATAATCATAATAATAGAACTTACAGAATGCGCAATGGTAAATCTCTAGTCAAAAACTTTTCGGCGCATTCTTTGACAGATTTTAAACTGTTTAAATCCAACTGCAAAAATTCAACATTTCAATTACCAGTCTCGGATTTGATTTTTCAACGGCAGTCTGACCTCTCTCGATACTAAGATTTAGTACGAATACATGTGTATTTTTCTGGCCAATTCCCTACATGTAATATATTCTATTCCTGCATTTCCTCCTGTAACGACTGCAACCTAGTTATAATAGATAAATAAAAAAATTTGAATAGGTTGATATGTTATAATAATAATATAATTACTTTTCCAGTCAAATCGGGAATATCATCAAAAGTGAAATGCTTTTTTTTTAGAGAGGTCTATTGGTTTAGCAATTGAATTTGAATCTGCTATTTTTTTTTTTTAAGAATCAACCGAGTGTAAAATTTTTTTAAGAAATCACTCGAGCGTAAAGAAGAAGGAATGTTCATAAGTTTTCTCTGATTATAACGAGAGCTTCAATCCGGATAATTTAGATAATTACCCAGATTACAAATAAAGTTCTACGGATTCAATAATTTAGCCGGTAGCGATGGTCGCTAATAATTTAGCCAGTAGCGATGGTCGCTAATAATTTAGCCGATAGTGATAGTCGCTAATAATTTAGCCGATATTGATAGTCGCTAATAATTTACATAACTGATAGTGATAGTCACTAATAATTTAACCGATAGGATAGTGCTAATAATTTAACCGATAGCGATGGTCGCTAATAATTGGCTTTTGTGGGCAATACAATTTCAATTATAGCATGTCTTGATATACAATTGATGGAAAA